CTACTACTTTTTTAAATAGTTAAAATTTTCACAAATTTTTAAATTTTCTTTATTTTTACTTGGACCTAAATGCTAAATAACGTATTTTTTTAATTTTATCATAATTGTAAAAAGTATTTTTCTACTACTATTTTCAAATCTTTGAAATTTTCAAAAAAAAAAGTTGTTTTCTTAAGATTATTTGCATTAAAATGTAAGAAAAATATAATATTTTGTGTAATTTTTCTATTTAGAAAATAAAAGTACTTTTCTACTACTTTTTTAAATAGTTAAAATTTTCAAAAATTTTTAAATTTTCTTTATTTTTACTTGGACCTAAATGCTAAATAACGCATTTTTTTAATTTTATCATAATTGTTAATAGTACTTTTCTACTACTATTTTCAAGTCTTTGAAATTAAAAAAAAAAAAAAAAGTTGTTTTCTTAAGATTATTTTGCATTAAAATGTAAGAAAAATATAATATTTTGTGTAATTTTTCTATTTAAAAAAAGTACTTTTCTACTACTTTTTTTAAATTGTTGAAATTTTTACAGATATTTAGAAAGAAAGTACTTTTCTTCTTCTTTTCAATTAAGAAAAGTATATTTCTACTATTTTTTTCTTGTTTTTACTCTTACCTTCCATACCATGGGTAAGCATGCAAATAATAATGGAATCTTTAAGCAAACTTTTCTTAGTAGTTTCACGTATGTGATGTAAAATCTCCCAATGTGTAAGATTATTAAATACCAAAGGTATATAACCGTAGGAAGAAAATACTGCTTTAAGTCTATCACGATCAATGTCGGTACCATTACGTTTAGGGTTAAATTTCTTTTCTGGTAATAGATGCTAAAGGGAAAATATGTAAAAGAAATACGAGAATGAATTTTTAAGTTACAATTACCTGTAAACTGGGATCAGTTTCTTCATAGAATGTATTTTGATTTATTATCAAAATATAACCAGCATTCTCTTTAGTTATTTTATAACGTTCAGCAGCATCAAAATCTCCAGATAATTCAGCTTTAACTTCACTAAGCTGGGTAGTCGTACAGGAATCGTGCGATACAGAAATGCCGGAATCTTTATCCACTTCCGGCTGCTCCTCCAGTCTATCATTGTTGACCGCTTGCTGTTCTTGATTAATAGTTACGTTATCTAACTGTTGATTTATGGTTTCAAGTAGTAAATCCTTAAATGAATCCATATCATTAAATTTAAAAAATTCAATAAGTATTTGTATATTAGAGTTTTCCAAATTTCTATTGCCCACAGCAATCACCCCTTTCGTTAACCAATTTAAGAAAAATACCTCCAGATAGGAATAATCATAGAAACGTAAATGCTGACACTCATCGTATTTTGTATGGATATAATGAATCAGCCGGCCGGCCTGTTCCGGTGTTAAACGTTCGGCAATTTTATATAAAACCTTTAGTAATGGATGTACATAAACACTTATTTCGGCCACATGTGGCAAATAATGATGATAGATTTCCTGCCAGAGCAAACCCAGTTTGCGTAAGACCCTTTTGGCCCTGATAATAGCTAAGGCTTCTACTAAATGTAAACGCCAAGTTTCAGGATTTATATTCGCATAATTTGTCAATATACCACTGGTAACAAGTTGGCCTGTTGCTCCCAAACCTTTCCCCTGAGGTGGTTGTTGTGCTAATATTATTAATTTTTGTAATATATAACCATAGGCGTTACTATCAGCTCCAAACAATAGGAAACTCAAAGAAACCTGCCAAGTTATTAGTCATTAGTTGTTTCTTTAAAACTTCTAAATGTTTATATTTACCAATTGGTAGTAACATAAATCAGTTTCTATATATTGTAAATCCTCCACTGCTATGTCCTGTATACGTTTCATAATGTTTTTGGGTCGGAAGCTCATTTTTCCTAGAATTTATAACAAAAAAAATATTCTTCCGTTTTTATTTTTATGCTGCTTGTTCTTTGTTTTGTTTTTTTATTTTTTTATAATAAAAGTTTAACAGTGCTGTTAAATTGGCGTTACTTTTTTAAAAATTTAATGCTTTTCATGACGTTTTAGCTGTTTTTTTGTAACAAAAACTTTGCATGGCAACACTAAAAATAGCAAAAGAAAAAACAAAATAGCAAAGTTGCCACTCATAAATAATATTTGTTGGCAAATTTTTGCTAAGAATACAACAACAATAACAAAGTAAAAATTAAGCAAAACCTAATGCACTAACTTTGTTACACTAGCGGAAATTGGCTGGAGGAACATTTATTAATGTTATAAATAAAGTAAAAGTTGATTATTAACGTGTGTGGCGCTTTCCGTAGTATTAAATGTTGACAATTTAAAATACTGTGATTTTAAAAGATAGGGTAGATAGATAGATAGATAGGATAGATAGGATTAGATAGATAGATAGATAGATAGATAGATTAGATAGATAGATAGATAGATGATAGATAGATAGATAGGGGGGGGGATAAAAAGGATTAAAGATAGATAGATAGATAGATAGATAGATAGATAG